GTATTTCCAGAGGAAAGCATCTCGGAAGAGGACAGCTGAGAAAACCGCAGGTGACAATCTGCCAGACCAATATATACTAAACCCCCAGCAAAAGGGCAAGCGATCAAAAACGAGAAGGGGGGATGGCACTAGAGGCCGTCTTGTGCTAACTTACACCCTTCTCAGTCAACCAGCTCTCTCAACCGCACTAAAGCCATATGAATTGGCCACTTATAGGGCCGAGCCGACGTGTGCGCAGCACCAGTGAGTTTATGTTCCTAAAGTTAACCTCATTTGCATGCCGGTCGTGAGAGACTGTAGGTTTTTTCCACAAAGGGAGGTGAGGCAAAGTCTGATTTCTCTCTCGGGCGCCCGATGATATGCAAATTTACAGAAACTTTTGCTGTTTCGAGACGCAGGTTGATCGATCCTAGCTAAGAACCCACCTCCATTATGGTTGGCGCGTGAACGGTGTGCACCATCCACTTTTAAGGTCTAGAATAGAACGTAAGAGTTGCCGTCAGTGAGAAAACGCGCACGTTGCCCTCGTGATCGGGCGGCAGCCAGAAGTCACAAACTAACGTAATTGTTGGTAGTGGTGGTGATGGTGGCGCATATGTAAGACGAACAGTGCGCTCATATTTTTCTGCCCTCTTGACTCACACAACCTCCAAATGGACTGACAAGCTGGGTGTGTTTGGCCATATTTATGCACAGGTGTTTGCACGCACAACATGCAAATGGTATTAACGAGTGTTCGTGTCGCCAGTGTGAAGTCTGCCGTACGCCACAACACACAGGCATGCCTTTAGCTAAAACAGGCGTGTCTATGAGCAAAATGTCAAGTGTCTTGTGCCTAAAAGGCGGCGTGAGGGTTGGGGCTATAGGGCATGAAGTAGACGTCGAAGTTGCCTTAAAGGCAGACTGTTGCTCAGACAAAATAAACTTTACTACCGTTGATGAGCTAACAGAGGTGGGGCGGAATTGACAAAACCAGTAAACGTGAGCGAATAGTAATTGGCATGACACAGACTGACGAACCGCACAATATCCACAGTATTAGCTGTTCACGTGTTGCTTGTCCCACGACTGAAATATAATGTGAAATTAGCAGACAGTACTTTGTAAAATTTCCACCATCCACTCTTAACACACAGATACAGACACACA